TAGCTAATATCTATACATGAGCTGGAAGACGAGCTGGTAGTTTTTATAGTTACGTATAGATCAGGACTTTCCAGAGATGCTTTGAATTTTGTGTGATGGTTTTAGATTTTTATGTTTTGGAAACATATTTGTGTGGTTTGGTGAGTTTGTACCTTCCCGCGTCACAATCTCTGATAAATCCTCAGGCGCCACCTGTTGTTTGTTTTGGGTATGACTACCTGGAAACTTTCCAGTTTTCTTGTGCAAAACTCACCTACTGTTGCATGTTTGGGGCAAGAATGATGTTCAGACAGTCTTGGTCATACATCAAAGTATTAAGGTTTGTTGAATCCCAGAATACCAAACAAATCCGACAGCAATGTTTTTCGCTCTGTGCTAAACGTTCAGTCAGGTTTTGCATTTCTTTGTTACCCGTCTTCCTTTACTCGTCGCTGCTTATTCATGCAGCTATATAATCTTAACCATTTCGAGTGGGAAAAGTGCTGAAAGTATGAGAGTGTACACATATGCATCTTTTTTAAAGAAATTTATTATTTTATATGCATTAAATTGATCAAAAGTGACATTTATAATGTTGATGAACGCTGTTCTTTAAACATAGAGTGATTTCTGAAGGATCATGTGACACTGAAGACTGGATTATGCTAAAAAAAAAAAATATCAGTTTTTATTTTAAAATATAGTTTCTTTTTAATAATATTTGACAAAAAAGTGCTGAAAGTATGAGAGTGTATTGTGCCACCGTCTCTTTTGACCCGTTGCCCAAATCTGCGGTGTAAGGGTTTTTTCTTTCACTGGAGTTTTGTTTCCTCGGGCCGTATCTAAACCTGCCAGAGACCAGCACTGTATTCTTACATTTAGCTTTACAAGCACTAGCAGAAAAGGGTCCAGTTTTAGATGCATTACAGGCTTGTATTCAGAGATGCTGAGAAAAATGAGAGAATATCTGAAAGCGCTTTTCGTTGCATTTTTGTGAGTTTTCTATAAAGCTAATTTTAGCAACCGTAACCAAGATGGAGGGCCATTTCCTCTAAAAGTTTATATTGTTTGGCAATTATGAAAGAATATATTAGACTTGCTGATGACTGGATTTTTTGAGGGGTGAGACTATTGCACAGAGAAAGGGTTAATAAAATGATTAAATATTTAGCATATATAGACATTACCGACTGATTATGTATAGAAACCGCAGACAATTGTAGCTTGACTGTACCAAAGCAATCGCAACTTGTTCAAAAGAATGAGAAACTTATTTTAATTGTGTTGAACAAGTAGTTTTGAGAATTTCATTTCTGATCTGAGAAATGCACCAAAGCAACTGTAATTTTTTTTAAATAATTTCCCCCCTGAATATATGCGCACCCTGCTCACATTGTTGAACAGTGACGTAATTTCATAACCTTCATAACTATGCATACCATAAGGATAAAGTTCATATTTGAACACTGACTGAACAGCGATGACTGATGACGGGTGAAAGTTCAGCGTGTCGTGAAGCACGTGTATGAAGTGTATTTTATTGGTGTGTGTGTCTGTCTGAAGTCTGTGACCGGTGTCTATAGCCTCATCTTGACTGACGGTTCATTCGGCGTCTCTCCATCTGTCAATCAATCAGATCAATCCTGCAGAACACCAAAGAAGATCTTTTCAATGTTTTTGGTTCCCAACATTCTTCAAAATACCTTCTTTTATGCTCCACAAAAGATGTGAAAGGCTGTAAAGATGAGGACATGATGACAGAATTATCACTTTAATTGTGCTGCTGAATCTTTTAAATTAATGTTTATCGTCTACGTTTAGCTTTTTACTTCTGTCGATTGTTCTTGTGCTTCAAAAATCATAAAAGTGAATTTATGAGGATTATCATCATGATGAACCAAACGTGTAGAGAATCATAAACCTCTGTTTAGTTGGTCACAGTTATTGTTCTGCTTACCAAGGCTGGGTCAAAAACAGGAATAATCTCAAATATTATTAAAATAAATTATATTTTAAAATAAAAGCTGATTTTTTAGCATAGTCTTCAGTGTCACATGATCCTAAATCACTCTTTGTTTAAAGAACATCATTTATGTGAAGTCTTTTGTAACATTTAATGCACCCTTGCTGAATATAAAATAATTAATTTCTTTAAAAAAGATCAACACTGTAAAAAAAATATTGTTGGTTTAACTTAAAAAAGTAAGTAACCTGGTTTGTCTTAAAATTTAAAGTTGATTGAACTGGAAAAAGTGAGTTAATACAATGAAGGAGATTAATTTAACCATCAGAAACTCAAAATCATATGTTATCTGAACTAAATAAATTATTTAAGTTGATTTGACAAAAGAAAAAATGTTGTGATTACTACACTGTAAAAAAATATTGATGGTTTAACTTAAAAAAGTAAGTAACCTGGGTTGCCTTAAAATTTTAAGTTGATTGAACTGGAAAAAGTGAGTTAATACAATGAAGGAGATTAATTTAACCATCAGAAACTCAAAATAATAAGTTCTCAACTAAATAAATTATTATAAAGTTGATTTGACAAAAGAAAATATGTTGTGATTACAAATCTTGAAAATGTTTGTTCTTCTCAAGTCTTTTGTGAGTCTTTAGTGTCTTGAGAGTTTCAGACAGTGAGATATTATTAATATTAGTTAATATGTGTGTTGTCGTGAGTTTTGATGTGGTTGTATTTGCAAGTCATGTCTGTCCACACCGCGTGGATGACCCCGGTGACCTCTGTTTGGGTTTGTGGAATTCCTTGAAAATGAGCTTTTTTTAGTGAGTGAATCTGGCGTCAAGCGAGTGTGTGTTTGCATCATGCATTCCCTCCATGTGTCACGCTTCATGATTGCTGCTTTCACTGCTTTCTCCCGAAGTGTGTTTTAGGTCACGGTTCGGTACACGATAACCTGAGATTATGATGTTTCAGTGGATTCATCCTGTGCTGATTTTGGAAGTATTGATGATTATGAGCTGGGGACTCATTTTTAGGAAGCAGACGTACCTTTGCATGAAATTATGCTTCGAGTTACAGCGAAGAACAATTTGGCATCAAAAAATGTTTGAATTTTATATACCTATTTAGCTTATAGCTTATGAAAACCTCAAATTCAAAATTAGAATATTGTGAAAAGGTTTTAATAAGCTATAAGCCATAATCATCAATATTATAACAAATAAAGCCTTGAAATATCTCTCTTTGCATGTAATGAGTAATGAGTCTGTATAATATATTAGTTTCACCTTTTAAGTTTAATTACTGAAATAAATTAACTTTGAAATAATATTCAAATTTTTCCAGTTTCAACTTTCATATGTATATATATATATATATATATATATATATATACATTTAAAGCAACTTACATTTCCATCCATCCACCCATCAATTTATCCATTTATCCATCCATCCACACATCCATCCACACATCCACCCACCCATCTATTCATCCATCCATCCACACAGCCATCCATCCATCCATCCATCCACACATCCATCCACCCATCTATTCATCCATCCATCCATCCTCACATCATCCACACATCCACCCACCCATCTATTCATCCATCCATCCACCCATCCATCCATCCACAGATCCACACATCAATCCATCCACCCAACCACCCACCCATCCATCCATCCATCCTTCCACACATCCACCCATCCATCCATCCATCCATTCACACACCCATCCATCTATCTACATATCCACCCATCTATTCATCAATCCACACATCCATCTATCCACAAACCCATCAACACATCATCCACCCATCCATTCATACATCCATCCATTCACACATCCACCCCACCCACCCATTCATCCATCCATCCATTCACCCATTCACACATCCATCCATTCACACATCCATCCACCCACCCATCCATCCATCCATTCACACATCCACCCATCCATCCACTCATCCACCTACCCATCCATCCACCCATTCATCCATCCATCCACCCACCCATCCATCCATCCATTCACACATCCACCCATCCATCCACTCATCCACCTACCCATCCATCCACCCATTCATCCATCCATCCACCCACCCATCCATCCATCCATTCACACATCCACCCATCCATCCACTCATCCACCTACCCATCCATCCACCCATTCATCCATCCATCCACCCATCCATCCATCCATCCATCCATCCATCCATCCATCCATCCACCCATCCATTCACCCATTCACACATCCATCCATTCACACATCCATCCACCCACCCATCCATCCATCCATTCACACATCCACCCATCCATTCACCCACACACATCCATCCATCCATTCACACATCCATCCATCCATCCACTCATCCACCTACCCATCCATCCATCCACTCATCCACCTACCCATCCATCCATCCATCCATCCACCCATCCATTCACCCATTCACACATCCATCCATCCATCCACCCATCCATTCACCCATTCACACATCCATCCATCCATCCATCCACCCATCCATTCACCCACACACATCCATCCATCCATTCACACATCCACCCATCCATTCACCCACACACATCCATCCATCCATTCACACATCCATCCATCCATCCACTCATCCACCTACCCATCCATCCACCCATTCATCCATCCATCCACCCACCCATCCATCCATCCACTCATCCACCTACCCATCCATCCATCCATCCATCCATCCACCCATCCATTCACCCATTCACACATCCATCCATCCATCCATCCACCCATCCATTCACCCACACACATCCATCCATCCATTCACACATCCATCCATCCACTCATCCATCCATCCACTCATCCATTCACCCACACACATCCATCCATTCACACATCCACCCACCCACCCATCCATCTATCCATCCACACATCCATCCATCCACCCACCCACCCACACATCATCCATCCATCCATCCATAATTCCCAGTGAATGCACGAACTGATCAAATGTCTATCTTCAATGAGATGCTTTAGATTTAAATGTCTGCCAAACACATACATGTAAATCGTCGCTGTCGGGCGGAAACCTCGTATGTCCAAATTTGGTCAATTTCATATTTTTTCACAAATCGATGTTATTGGTCAGTCTCCACGTGGGTCTGTTATTTTTACAAATTATTACCCAATCGAAAGTGTTGAAAATAGCTTGTGAGCAAACCTCTTAACTCCATTGGACACTTCAACTGTGTGTCAAACCTCGTAACTCCACCCCTTCTTCACTTGGCGCCGCTGCACTGCCTGGGAGCTTTGCGGCATTTTTTCTCCTCAAGATTGGAAGTCGCTGAGCAACACGTCCTCTGAGGTAAATGTCCTTATTCATGATTTAGTTATATCAATTATATAATAACAGTTTATATATTATATAACAGTTTTATCTCGATCGAAGTAATGGTAGTGCAAGTGTAATGTAGTCTAATTATGTTGATTTCTGAGGATGCTAGATTTTTCTTTCTGCTATGTAAAGGTATGGTATTGTTTCTGACGAGGAAATTTAATTTAAACCGCAAAAATTGCCTGTCGTTGACTCAGTTAGCCGCTATGTCACGTTATTGGTTTTGTCATCATGTTAGCTGCTAGGTGAGATAGGCAGCTGTGATTTTCGTGGGGCTTAAATAAAAATCTCTCGACCCCTGCTAACGCTAGTTCTGGCACTCATTTGAGGAACAACATAATAATTTAATGTGCTATGTCAGGATTGTAGCTTACAATGTCAAGGCATTCCGTCATGTTCATCACTTTAAGCAAGCTAGCTGGCCTCTTGCCTTGTTATCATACGTAAACATGCCGTATAACTTAGTGAAACGATCATTTGACCTTTATTTTATTTTTTTGCAGCAACCATGTCTGTGTCCTTAAAGGAGCTCTGTCAGATGGTCAATGTGCCATATGATCAGGCAATGGCCCTAATATGACAGTGAGAGCTCTGATGGAGATAGTGTAACGTTAGAGAGAGAGGAAGCAACAGTGGTGGAGGATACAGTGGTGCATGCTGGTAGAGTGAATTTCTGAGAGATAATCATGATTTCACATGCCAAAATGAATGAGTTTTAATGCAGATGTATTTCACAACAATATAAATAAAAACAATCACACTAATTGTACGATGTGTTTGAAAAGATTTATCTGGTGGTCTGGAGGAAGAGGAGGCCTCACTCCTGGCTCCAGAGCAGGTGCAGTTTGACACGGGTAGGTTTGATGCTTTTCTACATTTTGCTTTTCTGCTTTCTGCTTTTCTACATGGATTTCACAACCATAGAGGTAACACTTTACAATAAGGTTCATTAGTTAACATTAGTTAATGTATTAACTAACATGAACTAACCATGAGCAATACATTTGTTACTGTATTTGTTCATCTTTGTTAACGTTAGTTAATAAAAATACAGCTGTTCATTGTGTGTTCATGTTAGTTCACGGTGCATTAACTAATGTTAACAAGATTTAAATAAAATATTAGTAAATGTTGAAATTAACATTAACAAAGATCAATAAATGCTGTATATGTGCAGTTCATATTAACTAATGTAGTTAACTAATGTTAACTAACGGACCTTATTGTAAAGTGTTACCACAATGTAAAATAAATAAAAATGACACTAATTGTACAATGTGTTTGAAAAGATTTCTCTGGTGGTCTGGAGGAAGAGGAGGCCTCACTGCTGGCTCCAGAGCAGGTGCAGTTTGACACGGGTAGGTTTGATCCTTTTCTACATTTTCTCATTAAATTGGATACGGTCCTTCAACTATAGCCCTTACTGTTGACAGTTTATAAAGATGTAACTCATTCATGCATGTTTGGTTTGTGTGTGTATTTTGAAGTTTTCCATGGTGCAGGCGATGAGGACTCGGATGCACAGCATTCATGCTCAGATGCTGAGGAAGACGCACCTCCAAGGAAAAGACTGAGAGCTTACAGATCTTACACCGTGTCCTAACTACACGCGATGTGACGCGACGCCGCGTCACGTAATAAAAGGTATCTTTTCCATGTTAATCAGAGATTTTGTCCTAACCAGACGTGACGGCGACACGCAAAGTTTCTAATTTAGAAACGGTTCCTATTTCTGCGACGTCGTGGCTGACAGAATGAAGAAATTACACTGGTTATGAGTACACATTATTTATTTTTAGTTAAAAATTGGTCACTGTGCCACAAGATAACGGATAATTTACCTCAGATTTTGAAAACAGATAATATAGCGTTCAAAATGACTTCTATGCAAACATATACAACTGTACTTCATCACAAAATTAGTCAATGAGTATGTTTTGTTAATGTTTTGATTTTTAATAATGTTATTTCTTGATTTGATTATGTAACTTCTTACCCATTTCCAATGCGAGTGCGGGCCAGCAGTGTGCTTTCACGCACACGCTGTTCTGCGTGGCTGTGATTTTTGAGTGTGGCATCTCACAGTCGCGTCCCGTCTAGTGTGGACAGACACACTTGCTGTCGCTGGAATTTTATCGCGTCGCGTGTAGTTAGGACACGGTGTTACAGTGATTATGTTGTTGTGTTATATTTTGTGCTATTAGGTACAACAACAATGGAACGATGGACTTCAAAATCAACCACTCTGATTACTGGCATTCACATCCAAGTCACCAACTCCGAAACTCCACCTCAGACAGCCACACAGTCACCCCCACTCTATTCAGGCCGCCTGAAGATCACAGTGCTGAAATTCAAGACCTGAAGGAAGTCATCCCAAAGGACTTTCACAGCTTTTACGACAATTTACTTCACTAGCTTAATATAGGATGCAGTATTAAAGGAGAACTGGCAAAATGATCCTGGGGTGTAATAACACATTGGTATCGAGTTTTATCTCTAAAAACTGTTTAGCTTATAAAGCTAGTATATGTTGGCATATAATAAGTAAAAAGAAATCAATGCTAACAATGCTCAAAATAGCCCCACACTAACACGGTAGTATAATGAGGGTCTCTACATACAAACCGAAGCACTGAGAACTTTGTAAGTGTACAGACAGTTTAATAATAATATACTTTATAAAGACAGTAGGGACTTTAAGCAACAGCCTCTGGTGGAACGGCAACGGCATTCTGGCGTTCTATTGCGCATGCGCGACATTAACTGCTACTTCTTGACGTTCTACTGTAACCGTCTACTACGGGAGAACAGCTGATTTGCCGTAGTCGTTACTACGTGACAGATTAAGACAGTTAATGTTATGTTTTAGGTTATGTGGCATTGAAATCGTTTCTGTATATCATTAAGTGCTAAAATCAACCCTTCTCTTTCTTTTTAAAACCACTTTCTTTTTGTATTTTGTCTGATGATTAAATTATTCCCTATGCCGTCCTCTTTACTGTTGCTTAGTGATTTTTGCGCTCTTTAACTACGGCAGTTAACTGTTTATTTCCGGCTGCCGTCGCCGTTCTATCAGCAGCTGGTGCTTAAAGTCCCTAGTAGCATCACGGCACCATCTTTGGAAAACAGTCTCGACCAATCGAACCACTAACGCCACACTAAGTGAGCTGAACTAAGTTCCAAGTCACAGTTTAGCTCGTAGCACAGCGTTCGTGGTTCGATTGGTCGAGACCGTTTTCCAAAGATGGCTCCGGGATGGTACTGTCTTTATAAAGTATTATTATTAAACTGTCTGTACACTTATAAAGTTCTCAGTGCTTCGGTTTGTATGTAGGGACCCTCATTAAGCTACCGTGTTAGTGTGGGGCTATCTTGAGCATTGTTAGTGGTATTAACTAGTGATTTCTTTTACTTATTATATGCCAACATAAACTAGCATTATAAGCTAAACAGTTTTTAGAGATAAAACTCTTTACACTCGATTATCATGAAAACAAATCCCAGAGAAAAGTCGACTCGGTACCAATGTGTTATTACACCCCAGGTTCATTTTACGCAGGAGTTCTCCTTTAATACAGTCAATATAATGGCAATGTAACCACACACACAGGGTCTCACAGATACATGCACACAAACAAGGGCTAACCATACTCACAAACACAAATACACAACCCTTAACTGTGATTTTATTATATTATAAATATTATTTTATATTAATATATATTTTTATTTATTGTTAAACTATGATATTAGTTATGATGTATTTTAAATGTCTACTTTTTACTAGGGCTTATTATAAATGTGCATTGAAGTTTTTTAAATGTATAATACTTGAATTGAATGTTTTGGATACCACCATTAAATTATTGTTTTTATTATTATTATACTGACTCAAAGTTTCCTCTCGTGGCACTGTGCATGTAAAATAGCCCAACTATTGTTTTTTATGGGAGAAAAAACTGAAAAAAACGTCTACTGGCGTCGAGTAAGCCTATCTTTGGATAACTCTGTCTCTGTCTGTTTTTAGGTAATAACGAGTGAAAATAGTTAGGTTAGATACATTTGAGTAGGCCTTTTGTTAAAAAATCGAAAGCTGTAATGCTTAGATGCAGAAGGAAGCCCGTAAGCCACAAAGGTAAGTTTGTGTGCAGATTAGGCTCATTTCCGCCTATTAGACAGCCTAGTCAGCTCGTTTTTTGTGTGTATTGCATCACTTATAGATCATAACCTTTTAAAATAGAGTTTATGAAGATATATGTAACCACAACCATAAGCTTAGATTAGCTCTTAAAACCTTGTCTCGTCAAAAGGCTCAACGCGACCGCGGACTTGCATGAACACTGCTGGCACGCAGCAGCAAGTCTGCGTCGTTCCACAGCGAGTCTCGTATCTCCCTGCTCCCAAGTCATAAACCTCGGATCTCCGATTAAACATGATTTTGGGGAAATGTTGTGTTAATGTTGGTACACAACTGTATATAACAGCAATATAAGGTATAATACCAACTTTAACGATACAATGTTTAATAACTCAAAAAATACGCAGTTTTGTTTATTTCCTGAAAAATGATGGTTTTGGAGATACGAGGATTCCGCCCGACAGCGACGAAATATATCATGCACATCTTACCACTGTGTGATTTCATTGATTACTTTCCCTGATAGACATTTTTAGATTTTTAGATGATTACTTTAATTTGATTTTAGACCGATCTGAGTTGGCGCCACAGGCGCTGTGGTTCTCCAGTGATCGCAGCGTCACTCACGAGAAGTTCAGGAGCTCATGCTCTCACTGTGATGTAAGCGAGTGGATATTTCAGGTAATGGGGTCTACAGTAATAGGATCAGCTCGTGGATTTAAGTTACCTAAAGTGGCTGATGCAGTGCATTGTGGGAATGCACACATTTTGTATGTGACCTCTTGATATTTTCCAAATACAGTGATCCCAAAAATGAAGTCACTCTCCTAAATGTAGGAACGTTTATCTAATGTCTAATGTTTCAATCAGCTTTTATTTGATTTATGAACTCAGTCATCCTCTAAAAAATAACTAGTTCATATATCAACATCTTCCACAAACACTAAACGGACTGTCTTCATCTATTGATTTGGCATTTAAAACACAACAAACTTCTGATTGTCAAATGTTTTTGTTTGGAAAGTGTGTTTTTGAATCTTTCTTTGCAATAAATGACACTTGTTTTGATATTTATTAAATGATATAATGACATTCAGACATTTATTATAACTGAAGTGTATAAATCATTTTGGGGTCACTGTAGATGAGATTGCAAAACAAATATATATATATATATATGTAGCGGATGGGTACCACTCATCTCCACTACACATCGGAGAAAGAGCCGACAATCTGCAAGAGCTCACCAAAACTGGACAGTTGAAGACTGGAGAAATGTGGCCTGGTCTGATGAGTCTGGATTTCTGTTTAGTCGAGTCGTAAACAGAATGAGATCATGGATCATCATGCCTTGTTCCCACTGTTGGGCTGGTGGTGTAATGGTTTTCTTGGCACACTTTAGGCCCCTTAGTGCCAATCGGGCATCGTTTAAACGCCACGGCCTACCTGAGCATTGTTTCTGACCATGTCCATCCCTTTATGGCCACCATGACCCCATCCTCTGATGGCTACTTCCAGCAGGATAATGACCATGAATCATTTCAAACTGGTTTCTTGAACATGTCAATGAGTTGACTGTAGTAAAATGGCCGCCACAGTCTCCAGATCTCAACCCAATAGAGCATCTTTGGGATGTGGTGGAACGGGAGCTTCATCCCACAAATCTCCATCAACTGCAAGATGCGATCCTATCAATATGGGCCGACATTTCATCTCATGGGTCTGATCCTCTAATAAATGTTTATAAATAGATAAATAAATAAATAAAGAATGTTTTCAGCACCTTGTTGAATCAATGCCACATAGAATTAAGGCAGTTCTGAAGGCGAAAGGGGATCAAACACAGTATTAGTGTGTGTTCCTACACTCTAAAAAATGCTGGGTTGTTTTAACCCAATTTTGGGTCAAATATGGACAAACCCGAAATGTTGGGTTAAAAATGTAATGTAAAAATGTAACCCAACGGCTGGGTTAGTCCATATTTGACCCAAAGTTGGGTTAAAACAACCCAGCATTTTTTAGAGTGTAATAATCCTTTAGGTGAGTGTATGTATATATATATATATATATATATATATATAAGTTGTATTATTCTGAGTCAATTGAGTGTTTAAATCTCTGAATGTCCCGTAAGAGTCTCAGAGCCAGTCATGACATTCATGAGGACACGTCTTACACATCACGCCGTGTGCAGATTATCAGCGCGTAGGGTGTGTGTGTGTGTTTATAGACGCAGGATTAGTGTAATTCAGTGGGTCTGTGGGTTAGTATGTCAGTGTATCAGTGAGTCAGAAGGTTTCACCGGAAACGTAAATGTCTATGAATTAAACACACGTAGCAGATGCTTCCTGAGATTGTTCACAATAACTCAATTATAAAAACACACACACACACACATTTGCCATTGACATAATGGCATTTATACAGTACAAACTATATATTCTGTCCCCTTACACTAAGCCTACTCCTAAACCACACACACACACACACACACACACACACAAGCCCTGTCCTACATTTGTTCCTGTTCCAGAAGCCCTTTAATACGAACTGGATGGTTTATTGTGAAGACAGCATACAGTCAGTGTGTGTTTGAGGTTGATTCATGAGCAAATAACAATAATAACTGCATTATAATATCCTGATATGAAGGCGTTGCTCCGTTATGATGCTTTTATTTGCATTTTGTAGGTGTTTAATATGTGTTTGAGCAGCTGAAATCAGAGCAAACAGGCGATCGAGACCCAGTTGCACATGAGCCTGCGCTGCAGTCAGGGACACACACACACACACACACACCAGTTGCACATGAGTCAGGGACAAACTGCAACTCTTCTGTACACACGCGGACGGACTGCCAGAGTGTTTATCGTTCTCTTTCGCCGGTTCTGTCTCTCGTTCGGTCCAAAAGTATGAGATCGCTGCAGTTTCGCATTATCAATTACATTACAGTTTTTTTCCAATTGCTAACACACTAAAATGACATGCACAGCACAATTCTTTAAACAGACACACAGAGAGCAAAACTTCTTCTCAAGTTTCCAAAACTCTGCTTTACACACATTTTGCATTTCAAAATGCCCCTTTGTAAATGCACTGAACACAGTTCTCTGCATAAAACACGACGATCTGACATAAAGTCACATGTTTGCCATTTCTAAACACTACCATTCAAAATGACACTAATTGGCCAATTACATCATGTGCCATCTGGCCAAACACCTCAATGGTTGATTGTTTGAACACTTCAATCTGGATGTAAGCACTATAAAAACTATTAACAATTATTTTTTACTGTAATATGTTTTCTGGAAGTTTCTTTTTCAGTTTACTGGTTTTTTTAAGTAATTTATTTT